GGATGGGGAGCCAGGAGAGGCCCTGCCGGAGCCCCGGGGCTGCTGGCCCACCCAAAGGAGAGCAGGGGAAGCTTCTCCCAGCCAGAAAAGTGCTGCTGGCTCTGTGCTCAGGGCTAGTGCCTGTGAGTGAATCAGCGACATCAGCCAAAGGCTGCCTGGGCTTCCTGGTTTCCCTTTCTAAAGAGGGTTGCAGAATTCTTTAAAAAGATGGAAAGAAGTGTGAAGTGCTGCCAGTTTCCAGCTGGAGCGCGCAGGAGGGGCTGCAGGCCCCATAGTGCACAAAGAAGTGATTTTTAACAAACCCTCGCATCGTTCTGCTGCTCCCAGTGCTCCCTAACCGAGAACAACCTTCCCAATATGAGATCTCCATAAAAGACAGAGGTTTTTGCAAGCACCTCAGATATTTCCCAAGCCGCGAGACTCATCAGATCAGTCTGCTCATTCAGAGCTATGTGGTTTTTCCAGTGAACCTGACAAGTTTTAACATGACTTGAATGAAGTACGAAGGAAGAGAACATTTATTCTCCTCATATAGTGAGAGAGCTCAAGTTTGCTTTCCTGTACTGAAAGAGGTGAAAGGGAATACAGTACAAACCCTTTTAAAGCAAATTCAGATACTGTAGTTGCTGAATCTTATTTTATATGAGTTGAGCTCTGTCAGGAAGCGAGTTACTGAAACAATGGACCCACCTGCACTTTGAGTCGTATCTGAGAAGGAAGGATCAGTAGAAACCGAACTTTTTTGCCACCATGAATACCATGTACGAGTGAATAAAAGGTTGGTAAAGGCATGCTCTTGTGAGAACGTTTCAGGCTTTGAATTGATCCGGCATTCAGTTTATGGTTCCGAGACTGTCTTTCAGCAACTATATCCGAATTCCTGTTTTTCCAGCCAAGGGTGAGAAAGTGCTAGCAGATTCACTGAACAACTTATCGAATGCTTTTCGGATGATCAGAACTCACTTACCTGTCACCATCGTCGCCTTCCGCTCTCGGAGCTGCATCCCAGAGGTGCCTCAGACTGCTGCAGAACCCATCCTGGAGCTACACTGGGCAGGAGAGAAATTCCTGGACGAGGGCAGCTGAGCCGACCATGGCTGCCAGCAGGATTTTTGGGCTTCCGATGGCTTTTTTTGGGGGGGATACCTGCTCAGAGAGTCAAAATTCCCCTGGCCAGGAGCAAGTGGAGCAACTGGCTCTCTCATTCCTGGGAATGACTCACATGCCAGGCTAGGGGAGCTCCCGCTCACTTCCTGGCTCCAGCGCAGCCGGGACGCAGACAGTGATTCACCTGGGAGGGGGAGCGCGCTGGGGAGGCTGCGGAGCCTGCAGGTGCTGCTGCCTCTGCCTCCCGGGGCACGCCGTGCCTCTGCACTCACTGCCAGCCTGCAAATCTGGCCCTGGACAGATGGAACTGTCTACTGGTCGAGCTTATCTTGTCAATTATTCATTTGGTTGTACTTATATTGCCTTTAGTGTTGTGCTTTGAACCTATCCCTCCTCCTGAGTAACGTGCAGGATGAAAATGGAGCTGCAGGTCTGTCACTGAGTGTTGCAGCTGAAATGCCCCGAGTGTTTCCTGCCGTGGTGCTGCTTAGGGCTGAGCCCACTGCCCCTCACAACCCTGCCCTCCGTGGTCCTGCCTGCGCACACGTTTACAATCAGACTGTTTAGTGCCTCTAGAGCGCTGAAATAATCTTGGGGTAAAATTGGGACATATTATACTGGGACTGCTCTATTGGGACAAAGTTCCGCTTCATGTCAGTGGACGATGAAGTGGGTAATTTTCCATATCTGCTGCCTTCTGTAAAAGAAAGCAAATTCCCATCTCTCTCATTAAAAATTTGGGAGAAAAGAAAGAATAATCCCTAGTGCTCTGAGAGCAGTGGCTGCCAAGGCCATTTTCTGTCTGTTCTGCCTGGCCTTTTCCATAGACATGTTCAATTATTTTCTCGAATACCTGAGGGGCCGAGCCCCTATTGCCCCTGTGCACAGGAGCCTGTGAGGGGCTGAGCAGGAGCAGGACCCACCTGCTGCCCCCAGAGCTGAGCAGCTTCTGCTGGGGATCCCGGTGCTGAATCCCACTCTGCTGCTTGTGGGCAGACTCCAGAATTCCCTCTTGCCCCGGGACCTCTCCCTCGGATCAGGCGCAGTCCCTGATCACACAGACTGCTGGCACAGCTTGCCTTTGAAGCCCAGCTTTTGCAAGGCAAAGCAGGCCATGCAGATGAGGCTGCAGGAACACGGGCTCGTCTGCTGTGCTTTCAGCTCTGTTATTGCAGGCTGCCAAGCTCATCCTGGGATCTGCATGGCCTGCCAGCGGGGATGGTCCTGCTCAGGCACCCCTGAGGGTGGAGGAGGCTTTCCCTGCAGTGAGGGAGAGGAGACCTGATGAAGCCTTTGCCTTGCTTTGACTGTGCAGGACAGTGTGTGCTCCCCTTGCCTTCCTTCAGCCGTCCCTTGTGCTCTGGGCTTTGGCAGCTGCCTGCTGGGGTGGGGGAACAAAGCTCAGAGGGTCTGGAGGGGTTTGTACCCCCTGGAACAACCCCTGCATGAGGCACTGAGCTCCAGAGCCAGCGCTATGTGGGGCATGTGGGGCACAGCCCCTGCATCCCTGCCCGGGGGCACAGCTGGGCTCAGGGGGCACAGTTGGGCACAGCTAGGCTCAGGGGGCACAGCTGGGCACAGCTGGGCTCAGGGAATGCAGCCACTCCTGCAGTCCAGCATGGCACAACAACATGCGTTGCCTACATTTGTGCTGATGCTTTTCAGCACTGCCAGTGCTGGTGGTCTCCCAGGTGGTTGTGCAGCAGGATGTGCCATGGGGAAAGAGGGAAGAAATTTATAACGAAAATTGAAATGCTTAAAAAATGTTATTTAATTGCTTACAGAGACCCAGGTGTTCAGGGGTTGGCACTCTGGAGTTTACATACCAAAATTGGTGTGTTAGTAACACTCAAATAATAAATAAAATATGCACTGGAATGGGGTTTTAATTTTAGTTTTTGGATATGGTGCGAAGGCACATTAACTTTTCCTAAAAATCTCTGTATTTTGGCGTACAGAAGGACGTGATGGGCTGGCAGCTGGGGCCCTGGCATCCCCGGGCAGGCGGGATGCAGACGTGCTGCTGGCTGCTGCCAGGCTGAGCAGGCCAGGGCAGGCTGACACACGAAACGCTGGAATGGGGGAGCCTGCCCTAAAACAGCGCAGGAGAAGTGAGAAGGTCTGATGTAAAGAACAGCTGAAGGTAACCTGTAACTTAACTATTGTTCACGTTATTTACAGGCTGGATGTCCCTTTTTGTGTTTTGATGATTAGAGAGCAACTCTCAGGTTTCATAAGAGCCTGAACAACGTTATTACAACAATTACTGTGTTGCCTCATTCTAAAACGTCTTCACTGCCATATTTAGCAATGTGAGCTGCAAGGTTGTGCTACAGCAGATTCATCACCTGGGGAATGCACAGGACTGGCTGTTTCTGCTTTTTAAGCAGAAAAGTGTCAGCCAGATCAGAGCGTGCATCACGGGGAGGATTCTGCAGCGTTGGAGCTGCAGATGTGCAGGTGAAGGTGCTCTTGTCAGGGGAAGAGTCCTGGAAGAGCTGACGTTTCCCCTTTCCTGGTGTGGATCACTCCAGTCACTGTGTGGTGCCTTCACTCACAGGGAAGGAAGGAGGAAAGTCTCTGACCAAGAGCTGACTTTAAAAGCTCAGTTCTTTTCCCCTCGAGCTCCTGGCTGTGTGCTGATAGGGAGCCTGGAGCTGCAGGCCCTGTCTGGCTGGTGCTGCCTGCAGGCTCAGCCCTGTCCTGGTGCCCCCAGTGCCCCCTGTGCCCTGCTGGCTCTGTGCATGTGCCATCATGTGGGTCAGACCGCGGCTGCTGGACCTGTCTGCCCAGCTCTGCTTCAGGATGCAAACCATGGCTTTGCATTTCTGATTAATTGAAGCACAGCTGTGTGTTGTGAGAGTTCTCGGAGTACTCGGAGCTGGGGAGCCTGGATGGAGGGATGTGTGTAGCTGTGCCAAGAGTCAGGATGTCTCTGAAGAGCAGTTTGTCTCTGGGCACCCAGGAATTACCATGCTGTCCCTCTCAGGAGAGGCAGGAGGGTGTATGTGTTAAGTGAGGGTATAAAATGCTTCCTTTTTCTGAAACATGAGGAATATAAAAAATTTGTATAAGCCTCTGTGTACACAAATGAGTAATTTCCTACTAAACTCACCTGCTGAGTTCCCTGTGGTTCCAGGAACCCAATGACCTAGAGTAGAGATGTTTAGGACAAGTGTGAGTACTTTCTGTGTGGAGCTGGCCCATGGGAGCCTGGGCCAAGGGTCATTTCTGCAAAAGGATTCAAGGCCTTGTGCCAGTTTTCAGTTTCTAGGTTGTCTGGAGTGAGGACAAACCATGCAAGGGAATATTTGTCTGTGGGAAGGGAGAGCCCTGCTGCTGCCTTGGGATGTGATGGGCTGGAGTGAGCATAGGTGGGATGGGAAAGGTGGAATGCTGCTGGTGTTTGCTGCCCTGTCCATGGGATGGGAATGGTGGAACGGTGCTGGTGTTTGCTGCCCTGTCCAGCTGCTCTGTCAGGGAACAGTGAGGGGTTTGCTCAAGGCAGCACCAGCACATTCCAGGTGGGCTGGGACAGAAACCAGGTTTGGGAAAATGGTGACGGCTGTATTGAATATGCTAGTAAACTTTGCAGAATTCCACAAATCCCTGGGCAGCCCTGCAGGAATATGGGGAGCCCATGGCAGCTGCTCTGGGCTTCCTGCCAGGGCAGAGCTACTCTCCAAACACGGCTCTGTTTGATCATGTGCAAAGCAAAATTCTCCTTGGGGTGTTTGTTTGGGCCTTAAAAAACAGAGAGCTAAACTTTGAGCCATTTTAACTGCTGTGATTTTCACTCCATCTGGAGGCAGTGATCTAACACTTTGTAGAAAAAATGTGCAAAATCCCAAGTGCTAGTATTTAGGGACTTTTCCCCTAGGTGCACCAAGCAGGTGTTCTGTCCTCGCAGTCACCTTCACTCCTTTGCCACAGAGTTTGGTAGCTTTGGCTGCCTTTTACCTACCTAAGAAGCAGCAGCTGAAAAACAGATGATTAAGACTCGTCAGAAACCTTTGTCACACCCTTTATTTAAGGACCAACTCATCCCATTTTGTGGTTCCACCCACCCTAACACGGGCTCTCAGCTGTGTGAGCTGCCAGTGTGTGTGCACAGTGTTGGATGAGCCTCGGTCACGAGCAGAAATCACAAAGTACAAGACATTTCTGTTTTTCATCTTCTTAGTTCCTCAGTGCCCGCCTGCTCTGCCGGTCCAGAGCTGGATGTGCTGGCCGTCCCTGGAGCTCTGTGTGAGCTGTGCTTTGGGGAAGGCCAGTGAACAGACCCTCCTCTGCCAGTGTCTGCCTCAGGGCCCTCTGTTATTGTCAGGCTGTGTCAGCAGGTTGGAGGAACATTTCCAGCCTCCTGTATGCTCCTCCAAGCAGTTACTGAAGGGCTGGCTACTTCAGCAGCTGAGAATTTATTATATTTACTTTTCCTAAAGGAGCAAAGTTAATCCTGTTAACAGTGCATGTGTGTGTGGGGAGAGCCTTTAATGCGGCAACATTTAATGTAAGAGGTAGACAATGGCTGAGATAACGTTGATTTATAGGCAGATTCAGAACCAATTGAAAGCTGATTGGAGATAGTTCAGTTTCCAGTCAGGAAGGGTGTTCCAGCTGTGGAAGGTGTGTAACACGCCTGGTGGAGGAGATGTAGTGGGTAGAAGTTGCTAAATAAGACATACATCTCCCTGTGTGGCACGGGCTGGGGAACCCCAGGGGCAGAGATAATTAATGCACAGCAATCGAGAGCAGCTTTGAGAAAATCAAGCTGTATGGAGCAACCTGCTGGGTTGGATTGGGCTGCTGTGAACAATGGAATTCTAAAAATAGCAGTCTGGTGGTGATCAAAGTGTCTGGCACGTGTGAGACAGAGTAAAGCTGGCAGGAGAGCTGGAGGAGAAGGGGTGGTTTGGGATGAGGGACACTGCAGTCTTGACCTAGTGAGATAAATTCCAGGCTCTGGGGTTAGGAAGTGTTTCTGTGCAGGCACAGTCCCTGTGGGATAGGCAGGGAGAGCCCTGTGAGTGGTCTGGTGAGCTGGGTGGAGAGGATTCTCTGGATGGGGAGGCTCTCAGGGCCCCCTGCCCCTTCTGGCCTGGGCTGGGACTGGAAGGGTGAAGGTGCCACCAAGGGCGCATCTCTGGGTGTTCCTTAATGGTGAGGGCAGCGTGGGGCTCAGCCCCACAAGGCTCAGGGTGAGGGTGCAGCCCTGGCTGCTCTGCTCACTTGGATAGGAGCATGTCCTGGGAAAATGGGATGCTGAGCTGGGGTACTGCCAGCATTGTCCTGGGAAACTGGGGTGCTGAGCTGGGGTACTGAACTGGGGCACTGCCAGCACTGCCCTCCACCAGGTGCTGCTGCTGGGAGCAGAAGGAAGGGTGGTGAAACAGTGTGGGTAGCAGCAAAGTAATTACATGTGTGAGAGAGGCGAGGAAGGCTGGGAAGGGACCGAGTCCTTGCCTCTGTTCCTCCCCTTGCCTGCTCTTGGTGTGCAGCCAAGCTGACACTCAGGGTAGGAATTACTGACATACACAGTCACCAGCTCTGGGGTTCACTCCCAAATAAAGCTGGATTGCCCTTCAGAGCAGCCAGAGTCAGTAAGCTGCTCAGGTGTTAGCAAGTGAGTTGGTTTAGTTTAAAGCAGAGAGAATTAACCTGTGGATTGTCTTAGGCAGTTTGAGCAAGAGCCTTTTGGCCATTAAGGCTATGCAGTGAGTGTACTTAGAAAATCCATTTTGCTGCATTTATTGAGTGTTAGTATTGCTTGGCAAACACCCTTTTGTGCTCTTCAGCAGAAGTAAACCAAACTGTTTTTCAAGTTCTCCATGCGGATGCAGAGCAGAGTGTGCAGCTGCAGAATCAGGACTCAGTGGGAGATACTCGTGTGTCCAGCTCTGTTTTTGGGTTTGCCTGGGCTGCTCCCTGCAGAGCCCTCACCCTCCTGTGGAACACCTTCTCCAGGAAGGGCTTGCAGAGGAGCAGGTAGATGAGGGGGTCCATGCAGACGTTGGTGGCCGCCAGCCACAGCGTGCTCTCCTTGGCCACGAACAGCTGGTTCTGCAGCCGGCACTCCATGTGGGCGCTCGTCTGGCTCACGGTGTAGGGCACCCTGCTGAAGTGGAAGGGGGCAAAGCACAGGAAGAACACGGTAAAAATGATGAATACTTTCCCCTTGATCCGCTTTTCGCTTCTGTTGCCTTTCTTCTGTGTTTTTACGTAGGACTCATATACCTTTCTGGCAATGACTGTATAAAATAGCAGCATGAGGAGGAGGACAGTCCAGAAGATGAACTGACAGACGTAGTTGACAGCCCCGTGCCATTTCAGCCCGAGGTGGCTCTTCAAGGAGGCACACTTCCTCACGGACTGCGGCGTCGCTGCCTTGTTGGACAGGACCATGTTGGGCAGGGACAGGACGAGGAAGAAGAGCCAGACCAGAGACGCCAGGATCTTTGCTGAGGTCAGGTTTTGCACCCAGAACTTCCCAAAAGGCCTCACAATCTTGAGAAATCTGTCGAAAGCAATGAGCCCCAGCAGCACGATGCTGATGTACATGGTGTCATAGAATATCACGGCTGAGAAGCGGCAGACAAAGGCCCTGAGCTGCCACGGCGCCAGGCCGGAGTCTGTCAGGATCTTCAGGGGCAGCATCAGCGTCATGATGAAATCAGAAACCAAGATGTTTTTCAAGTAGATGATGAAGGTTGATGTGCTTGGGATGTGGAAGAAGGCCCAGCAGGCCAGGCTGTTCAGCAGGAGCCCCAGGAGGAAGATGAGGGTGTAGAGCACGGGGAAGAGCAGGTGGGTGACGGTGGTGTCACGCTGGCACGGTGCAGAGGAGGGAGCTCCACTGGTGTTAGCCACAGAGCTCGTGTTTGCAGAGCCTCCCAGGGTTGGGAACAGACTTGGGGGAAAAGGAGAGAGAGAACACAAAACACACCCTTCTGTAGTAGTATTACACGTTCCTTACTGTGGCAGCAGGTTTGCATGAGTAAACACCAAACCCGAGTGTGGCTTAAACAGCCCGGCCAATTTCTCTTCTGGTTCATGGAAAATCTAAATCTTTGCTGAAATTTAAATTGTTTGCAGGCTAGCATCCACTGAAGTGTTAAAAGGGTTCACACTTATTTTGGAGGCCTAGGGTAATGCCAGCAGGGTATAAGAGCAGACTGCCTGAAGCACTGCTGGCCTTTCCATGGAAATGTATTTTAGTGCTGAATAGAAATGTTAGAGATATTCTGAATATCTCTAGCATTCAACACTAAAGTAGAAATATTTTAGTGTTGAATATAATACAGAAATAGAAATCTTAGAGCTGTGGTCCAAAAGCCAGCCACTCCTGTGTACGTGACTTCTGGTAATTCTTTCCAAGCACCCACTCTTTCCCTTATCAGCACAGCTTCAGATAGCATTTCCAAGGCCAGCTGCACACAGGTGGCTCCCAGCCCTGAGCACCAGCCTGAGCACCCCGCACACCCCGAACACTCCGAGTACCTGGGCAAACCTGCAGCAGCTGTCACAGGGCCCTCTGTGGCTGTCCCCATCTCATCCGCTGCTCCTCTGCCAGCACAAGCCTCGAGCAAAGTGTTGGGAGTGGGGAAATGTGTAGAAAGATGAGACGTTTTTCTGCTGGTGTGTGGTTTCCTTCCTCATTTCAGTGCCGCCTGAGTTGGTCACATTGCTATTGCTTCTGTCTCTTCCCTTTGCTCTGTGTGAGAAAGCACACCATCTGCTCCTGAGCTGGGAAAGGAAAGCTGAGCCTGCCTCTCAGGACAGACACATTTCTGGGTTTGTGTGTGCATGGGGCAGACCTGCTGCACCTGGGCTGGGAGGATGAGCAAACACAGAGTGTTTCCTGACAGCATTTTAGGATAACCCTCCAGTGTAGCTCCTGGGTGTTGTTCGTGTGTGAATTCCACGTTCTGGATAGCACCAGTCATTGCCAAAGCATTACAAGAGTCTGCTCAGAGCCCCCTGACAGTGGTGCCAGGACCTGCCCCCTCTCCTGCCCCTGGTGTCCCTGGCACAGGGCCTGGGTTGGGCTCTGCCTCTCCCGGGGGATTCCTGGGTTTGGCCCATGCAGGCAGGGATTGCACCTTTGTGCAGCTTGCAGCCCTTCTGCCCTGGCAGGTACTGCTGCGTGGATTGCCAGTGTGTGCTGGGTTTGGGCTGGCACTGGGTGCATTTCTCTGAGAGCAGAGCTGTCTGTGTGAGTTATTGCTGCCTGCTGGTGGGACAGCCCTGGCCCAGGGCTCGCTGTGGGCAGTGCTCCTGCTCAGGCCATTCCTGGGGATTGCTCCAGAGGAGCTCGGGCTGCAGCAGTGTCAGGGGTTTGTGCATCAGCACCTGGGACATTTTGGCTAATGTAGGTGCTGGTGTCAGTGTTAATGGGTGCTGAGAGCAGGCAGCCCTGAGGATGGCTGGGCTTCAGTCACGCTCAGCACTGCCACCAGTGTGGTGTGGTGTGGTGTGTCCTGGCTGTCCCTGCCTTCTGGTCCCCACTGGTGACCACACAAGGGTGTCACAGTCCACGGCAGTGCCCCAGCACTGCTGTCCAAGGCAGTGCCTTCCGTGTTTTGAGCTCTTGATGCTGTTCCCAGTGTCAGCAGGTACCTGTGCACACCTGGTGGCTCTGGGGGACAGGTGTGTCTGTGTGGACAGCTCACCTGGCCAGGGAAAGCAGCTCCTGCCTAGTTGCCACTCTCTCTGCACGTTTGGTGCAAAAGTGTGCAGGATGAGCTCAGGGTGGGAGTGGGGCTCGTGGCACTGCCCTCCCTGGGCATTAATGGGGACTGACCCGGCCCAGGGGCTGCGGGCTGCTGGGGGAGCCCGCTCTGGGGTGGCACAGTTGGAGGCAGGTGGGCTCACCCCTGTGGGCCGTAGGAAATGCACAGACCCCAAGGCTGAGGGTGGCAGTAGGTGCAACAAGTGAGCTGCCCTTTAACTTCTTAGGAAATTGGGTTGCACAAGTGCCCTGGCAGGCAGGGACAGGTCCCAGGAAGGATGGACAGGTGATGGCTTTGGCAGGCTGAGCTCTTGTGTGCTGGGGACACGCGCTGCTCAGCTGCAGCTGTTTGCAGTGGTGAGAAATGAACCACAACTTATTCCAATAGCCCACAATCTATTTCATGGGTAATTGCTGTGATACCTCAAAATGTCATGTACTTGAAAATACTTCCCTGTTTTTTTTTCAAGTTTTCCAAGTGCAAAAAGGAAGTGGTTGCATATTTTGTATAGTGGAAAAAGCTGCCCTTAATCATCAGTAAAGGCGTTACCATGAGCCTGTTTTTCCCCAGGGTCTCAGTAAGATTTAAATCAAGTGTTTGTATGTTTTCTAATATAATGTTCTCTGTGGAAGCATTACTTCATTTATTTATGTAGTAAGGGGAAGGATTTGGGGATTTAATTAATATCAAGATAAGCCTGATTAGGTAGTAATTTCCTCTGATATACATCTATTAATTATTGGTCAATGGATTAGAAACTGCAAGCATAGAATGAGATAAGCAAAGTGTTATTCTGTTACCAAAAATCTGCCCAAATGGCTCTCTCCATGTTTCTGTTTGTCTGCCAGTTGCATACAAGGTGACAGCTCCCTGTATTGAAAAATGACATCTACTGTGCATTTTATCTGCATTTCTCAGGTCTTGTGTTGTCATGAACTTTACTCTGGCCCAAGTTTAGCTATTTCTGCAACATCTCTACAGTTCATGGTATCATCTGTAGCATTTCATGATTCTGTTTTAAGCTTTTCCTCACAGTTCCACCTTTCAGTTCTGACTTTTTCCCATCAGTTCTGACAGCAATGGAGGTTGGGGTCTGAAAGCTGAGGAGCTCTGGTTTTGGCAAGGGTGGAGGCTGGGGGGACTCCTCTGGTGTTTGTTTAAGCTTTCTGTTTTTGCAGGCAGCGGTGGTGGTTCCAGGGTGCTCCTGCTTCATCTGCAGGGCTGTTTCTGAAGAAGTCAGTGGAGCTCTGGGTGCTCCTTGTGGGTTTGTGCTCCTGCCACCCCCAGTGAAGGCGTGTGAAGGGCAGAGGAGCCCTGGGACCTAGAGCGGCGTCTCGTCGGAGTCATCCCCCTTAGTCTGTGCCCCTGACGCTGCCCTGTGCTTGCACAGCATGTCCAGCAGGGATTTCCTGAAGGATTTGCACAGGAAAAAGTAAATGAAGGGATCCAGGCAGGCATTGAGGGACGTCAGCCACAGCGTGGTCTCCTTCATGTAGAACAGGGCGTTCCGAGCAGAGCAGTCAAACACATCTCTGGTTTGGCTCAAGGTGTAGGGGATTCTGGTGAAGTGGAACGGCACAAAGCAAACAAAGAACACAGCAATTATTATGAAAACTTTGAGATTGACAGTCTTTTTAGATCCCTTCCCTGTGCATCGAGTCCTTTTGTAGGATTTGTACAGTTCCTTGCTGATGAGGACGTAACATACCACTATGACTGCTAAGTTAACCCAGAAGATGAGCTGACAAATGTAGTTCACAATTTCATGCCAGACTAAGCCAAACTCCGATTTCAGGAGAGCACACTTCCTTACGTTCTTGGGCGTTTTCTTCTTATTATTTAAAATCATGTTGGGTAGTGAGAGAGCGAACATGGACAGCCAGATGGCTGTGGACAGGACCTTGGCGGCCAGGAGGCTCCGTGGAGTGGAGGTTCTGAAAGGTGAGGTGGCTTTCTGATAGCGATCAATCGTTATCAGGCCCAGGAACAGGATGCTGATGTACATGGTGAAGTAAAACACCACCTGGGTCACCTGGCACACAAACCCTCGCAGGACCCAGGACACCAGCTTGGCATCGCTGAGGATTTTAAAGGGAAAAGTCAGGATCATGAGGAAGTCAGAAATCACAGTGTTCTTGAGGAAGATAATGAAATTGGATTTACTGGGTACTTTAAAGAAGACCCACATTGCCAGGCCGTTCATGGTGATCCCCACCAGGAACAGAAATGTGTAGAGTAAAGGGAAGATGACTTGGCTGACCCTGCTGTCGCTGGTGCAGTTGCTGTCATTCCTGGAGGAGCTGAACTGGGTTATGGCTTTCATTTGCATTGTGGTATCTCTTCTCCCTGGAGAAACAAACAGGAAACAAAAAAGAAGAAATTGAGAGTTTTATCTGTTATGAGGCTTTGGCCTTTTCAGTCAGCTTTGAATTGTTGTGTTGTAAACAAGTGCACCCAGCTGGGCCAGGGCAGCGCTCAGGTGTGTGGTGATGCAGCTGGTTCTGTGTGTCTGGGCTCTGCCTGTGGGAAACAGGCACACGGGGAATTGATGTGCTCTCAGCTGATGCCCAGATCCCTGACAAAGTTTTATTTCTTCCTAGAAAGTAGGAGAAAAGGCTTTTGCTTTGAAGACGAAGCAGGCTGGTGCGCCAAGCCCCGTGCTGTGGGAGCAGCCCTGGCAGAGTGGGTACGTGGTCCCCAGGGCCGGGGCGGGCACCAGAGGAGCTGGGTGCTCTGGGCACAGGCTGCTCTCAGCCAGGGGCCCTTGGCAGCCCCTGCAGCTCTCCAGCACGGGGCAGGGCAGGAGGGAGCCCCTCGGAGCAGGCAGAGGCAGCAGGAGCAGCTGAGCATCCCCGGCCTGAGGCTCAGACCTTGCTCTGGCTCCAAACTGCTTTCTTAGCCAGTGACAGCTGCGGATTCCAGATGATGCACTAGGAGCTTCTGCTTCTGTTTTCTGTAGAAAAGAGGGAGAAATGAAATTTTAAGAAATAATTACCAGATTGCTTCCTGCCTTTGACTGACTCCCAGAGGCACTATTCGTAAAGGGAGCGGGGATTTATCAGATTGTGCAACTTCTCTGAGCACAGAGCTGCGTTTCTGTCTGCCCCTTTTGGGCTTGTGAGTCCTTAGTGTTATTTCTGTACACAGCCTTGTTTTTTAAAACTTTTAAAGCTCTTGAAAGAAGTAGTGATTTGTTACTTTGGAGAAGGTTACTATTGAAGGAAATATTTCTTCCATATGCGACTTGTAGAGCAGTGCTTCAAGTTTTAAGCTGCATACAGTAAGTCAATGTTATACGATATATGCATGTAGTTGAAAGACTAAATATAAACAGCTACAATGAAACAAACTACACATATTTCAAATTCTTTGGGGTGTACAAGACACCACTTTAGGAGCTGCGTCTTTTTTTTCAATGGATTTGTATGTAGTAAGTGTCACAGTTTCCAAACATCTGTCTTCTGTTTGAAGACAGATGTTTGGAAACTTCTGTCTGATCTGCTGCGGAGTGTTGATCCAGGGCACAGTTTGAATAGGGGATTTTCGGTCCCGGAGGGTGTGTCATCCCTTGGCGCTGTTCGGTCTCTGGGGGATGTTCGGTCCCGCAGGCTGTGAGATCCCCGGGGATGTTCTGTTCCTGGAGGATGTTTGGTGTCCGGTGGATGTGCGGTGCCCGGGGAATATTCGGTCCCCGGGGGCTGTGCGGTCCCGAGGCTGTTCGGTGCCTGGAGGATGTACCGTCTCTGGGGGATGTTCGGTCCCGCAGGATGCGCGGTGCCCAGGGGATGTGCAGTCTCTGAGGCTGTGCGGTGCCGGAGCTGTGCTCGGGGGGCCGGGGCTGTGCGGTGCCCGGGGGCTGTTCAGTGCCCGGAGGATGTGCGGTCACTGGGGGCTGTGCGGCGCCGGGCCCGTGCTCAGGGAGCCGGGGCTGTTCAGTGCCCGGAGGATGTGCGGTTCCGGGGCTGTGTTCGGTGCCCGGGGCTGTTCTGTCCCCCGGAGGCTGTGCGGTCCCTGGGGCTGTGCGGTGCCCGGGCTGTGCTCGGGGTGCCGGGGCTGAGCCCGCTCCCGCTCCCGCCGTGTCAGCCCCGGGGCCGCCGTGCCCGCGGCTCGGGACCGTCCCGGGGCAGCCCCGCGGCACCGGAGCCCCCTCAGCCCCCGCTGCCCCCGCGGGTTGGGGTGCCCGGTTCGGCTCTGGGGCACCGCGGCTGCAGCGCAGGCAGGGCTGGATGGAAATCCTGCCAAATCTCAGCTGCAGCGCTCTGTAAAGGCGTCCTTTGGGCTAGGGAGAGGCACAAACGCGTTTGAGTTTGTGAAGCTTTATGCTTGAATGTTCAGTTCCTTGATTTTTAAGTTGGAAAAGGATTAGGCTCCCGTATGGCATATTTTTGGCCTTTACTTTGTAAAGGAGGAATGGAAACCCTTCAGATGCAAATCCTCATCTTGTGATACCCACAAACTGCTCCAGTTGCTGTTCCCCCTCCTGGTTTGTGTCCCTAGTTTGAGTCTGCATAGTTCAGGTTTGTGGTTCCATTTCATAGGGGGCAGGAGAGTATTTCTCAGTAATAATATTTTAGTAGGTTAACAGACACCTGGCAGCAGTAGCATTTAATCAGAAACACCAGGAAAAGGAAATAGGAAATATAGAACTACACAAGTGACTGACGTCTATGTTAATTTCTTCTGCTTACAAGCTAAAGTTCAGTAACACAACAAAAATAACAAGTTT